TATATATATATATGTATATATATATAGATTATAAAGATAATTAATATTTATATAGTTAGAGGAATTATATCCTGAACAATTCTGGTTGAATTAATCATCGTTAAATTAGTCATAGTTGGATCGAGATCACAAAAATATACGCCGTTCTTTGAGCTTCTTAAAAAAACCAAATCGATTGACGCTACTTTTTGTAAATATCTTAGTTTTTATACAACTAAGTTCAATTTTTTTTGTTTTATAGAATTGATCAATTTACCTTCTGAAAGACTCATTTGATTGACTCTATTTTTTGCTTCTTAAATTTCTTCATTTTTGTATCAAGGTATGAAATGATTCACAATCTTTTGATTCAATCTGTTTTTTGTTTTATACATTAGAATTGATAAGTTTGCCTTTTGAATGACTCATTCCATCGACTTCACTTTTTAAATTTCTCACTAAATTTCTCAGTTTTTGTAGTTCACATCTACAACTAGTTTACATCTATTTAATTCTATCTACTTTTTATTTCATAGAATTGTTCAGTTTGTCTTCTAAAAAACTCATTTATCATCAAATTTAGTAGGAATATTCATTTTTTTTTCATGTATTATGTGTGTCTTCCCAGATAACATGTTTCATAAGATATCTAAAAGATGTTTTTTAGACATCTTATGTAGCATAAATGTTATCTGAGTTGTGAATATAATAATGTTCTTTCAAATATTGTACATGTAAAATTGGTCGCCTATCATTATAGCAAAATGGGTAACTGCTAATGTAATTTTGCAGTAATTCGATTTCCATGCGATGACGGCCGCGAGGAAATGTTTCCATGCGCCACACTCCGTGCTCCGGAGGTGCACCTGCAGAGAGGTGGCTTAGCTACCAAGAGGTTCTATAAATTGACGGCAACTCGAAATTTGAAACGAGCTTTGGACATCCGAAAGGATGATTACTGTATCATTTGAAATTTCAGTGTCGGTAGATGATAGTTGATTAATATCAACATGTTTGGAAAAATAATCTCTGGGAAAGATGGGACGATTGGAATCTTAAAAGCTCTCTGGAGATGAAATTATAAGATGACGAACTGCTCGTGACATCCGTGTCGCGTAAGTTCCATTGGCGATTTAGATAATCGCAAAGTTATCATAATTTTATTCGTTATTTTCGATAACAACGCTTGTCTAGCTTATCATATCTGTAAGATTTAGTTAGAATACTTATGTGATGTACATTATTGTTTGCGGAGAAATAAGATACAATTGATATCAACAGGTTTTATATGATGATGCGACTGAACTTTAAAACAACCTTGCTTGTTTTGGTTGTCGCAACAGTGAGCTTTCTACTTGCGTCGTGGAATAATTGTGGAACCTTGTTGTTCCATACAGACTGGAAGACAAAATATCATAAGGTAAGGCAAAATTTATGACATAACAGTGAGAGCGGATTTTAACGTATTAATCTACATTAGCTCGTCATAATACATATTTTTATATGTTTTAATATAGGATCGTATAAATACAGAATCGGGATACCAAGAGATAGATTGTCATATAAATGGCGATTACTCTATAGGATGTCGAAAAGAAGGCGACGAAGTGTATATACCATTTTCATTTATCCATAAATATTTTGAGGTCAGTTAAGTTCATGCGAATTGATTAGCGTTAAATTAAATAAATTATATTATAAATCAATAAATGTTTGTTATATATAATTTATGTTATAAATATATTACGACAACTTGTACATGCAATGTTTTAGATTTATGGAAAATTGGCTACTTATGATGGTCTGGAGAGATTCGAATGGCTGCATAGTTACTCAAAGATTGTAAATCCCAAGGGAAAGTATGATCCCCGAGGTGTATTTATGACCTTTGAAAATTACAATGTCGAAGTCAGGGATAGAGTTAAGTGTATCAGCGGCACCGACGGTGTACCGATATCGACGCAATGGGAGAGCCAGGGATACTATTATCCCACACAAATTGCTCAATTTGGATTATCGCATTACAGTAAAAATCTAACCGAGCCCGAGCCACACAGAAAGATCATTGAGGATTCCGATAAAGTTAAACAGAATTGGAACGTTCCTCAAGGATCGGTTATGAACAGAGTCTACGACAAGCAAGCTAATAGTTACGTCCTGAAATTCGCTACTCCGGAAACGAGCACTTCTGGGATTTCTTTGAAGCTGGATCACGTATTGGACTTTGTATTGAAATGGGATCTTAATATTAAAGACAATGGAAGTGTCACGGTTGCATTACAGTCACGGGAGAAGAAAGAAATGTACTATCTTCACTATGTCACTAATAACGTAGTTTTGTATAATTATAATAATCATGTGCATTACGGAATCGGACAAGCTAATCATCAATGGAAACGTCTTACTAGAGATCTTGTAGTTGACTTACAAAAAGGTCTTTATTTGAATGATAAAAGTAGGAAGAAAATACCTCGGTCTAAGTTAAAGGTAAGCATCATTCGAATGATAATTTTATAATTGATATCATGGAAAATTTGTAATGTAACCACACTCATTTTAGGTAGTTAAGATTACTTTGTACGGCTCCGGTATGATTGACAATATGACATTATCTACTAGCGAACATATGGAACAATTTTATGATGCGGCAAGATGGTTCGTCGCTAATCAGAATATCACCTCCGGTGGTTGGCCGAATCCTGTCAGGAGAAAAGTAGCGTCTGGAATGGCCATTCTCGAGCCTGGATGGTATCACTCAACATATTTTTACATATATACATGTAACTGTGAAATTAACCTTCTATATAATTTGTTATCTTTTCACTATCGTGTTTCACGAAGTTCTTGCTAAAAATGCAAAAACGAGATATCTATGCAAAACTCTTTGGTGTGAAGGATAGTGTTTTGGTGTATGAAGGATAGTGTTTTATAATGAAATTCGCACAAACTTGAAAAATTGTTACTGTTTAAGATTCCATACTCGATTATTATACATTGAAGAAGGATTAAGAGTAGAATTGGCTTTCACAAAAGAAAAATATATGTTACAGGTATTCTAGTATGGGACAGGGTCACGCGATATCAGTGTTAGCACGGGCATATTATCATTCTGGAGAGGCAAAATACTTACAGGCCGCTATCAGAGGCCTACGACCTTTCAGACTGACATCCGCTAAAGGAGGGGTAGCTGCGCTATTTCTAAGCAAATATGTCTGGTACGAAGAGTATCCTACTACCCCTTCGTCTTTCATACTCAATGGTTTTATTTATTCGCTTATCGGTCTCTACGATTTGAAGAGCATAGCGGTAGGTAAGGACGCGGAGGAAGCGACCAGACTTTTTAATCAGGGTATGATATCGTTAAAAAATATGTTAACGTTATACGATACCGGTTCAGGTACTACGTACGATTTGCGTCATTTTACATTAAAGACAGCACCGAATTTAGCTAGATGGGATTACCATTCTACTCACATTAATCAACTTCTTCTTCTCAATTCTATCGACAACGATCCTATTTTTATCACGACCGCGGAGAGATGGATCGGTTACATGAATGGTAAAAGAGCGGCGCATAATTAACCACTTTAGAAAATATTCCATCTCCTTTGTATTTTTTATATTTATTTATTTAAATTATTTTTTTATCTTATCAAATTATTTTAATAAATTATTTTCATTATC